GTAAAAGCGATAACCTCTTGGTCGAATGAGCTGTACGTAGTTTGGGAGGACCGAGTCGGTCTTACACTTGGAGAGATCCAGGCAGTCACGTCTAGTTGAATCTTGAGCCTTCACATACGGTTGTCCAGCCTATTTCAAGTGGAGATCACCTTTCCTAAATCCAAAAGCTCTAACCACAAAAGTGGATTTGGGCGTGAAATGTCGATCTAATGTGAAAGCTGTCCACCAGAAGCCGTATGAATGCATTAATTACTCCCAGTAGCATATATTACGAACAAATTAACTAATCCATTATTGCCAGTTGACAAAGTTTGAGTATAAGAATATTAAAGGTCACGATACCGTCAGACTTTCTTTGATGTTGTCCAAATGTAAATGAAACAATGCACTGTCACGACGGGCTGATGTGCGCACATGCTGGAATAGCTCGCCACAAGACCTAACATTTTGACTTTCGCTTTTACGGGTTTAAATTACCTGACGTGAATGTTTCTGCACACAAAGCAAATAAGCATTGTTTTGAGCTCAAGTAATCCTTGCTCCAGTCCCAATAAAACTAAGGGCTAAAGTTCAATGAGATGTTAGAGAAGAAAATTGAGTCAATGAGCCCTGCAGAGACACTTTGAAAGACGAATATTGACCAATTTTCCTTTTGCATCCAGAAACTTATTTTGTATGCTTGCGTTAATCAACATTACGGTTCAAGTCGTTGCAAAGCTGAGTAGTCCGCATTACTTTAAGAACTCACCGCCAGTATCAGTGGCTGTCGCTGGAGTGGTCACATTGGCGCTTTGGGGCGGGCTGGCCTTCAGCCCGATCTCCTCGCCTTCCACCTGAATACGTGTAACCAAACTAACATGACTTCTACTATCCATAAGGCAGTATCGGGTGACTGCGCTTGTATTTGATCTAAAACGTTCGTCTGATTGCTTATTTTACCGACTGATAGCTAATTGGAAGTAGCAGATAAAGCTCTTCATATTCTCTGATTTTAGTTACATCTCCTACAGTGATAATGACTTCATACTGTTCCGTCTTGAAGATCTCTCAATTTTGCTCTTCCGATGCCCTTAGCATTGTTTGCTGCATCTCAATTTGTTTCACATTCACGTTGATCCACATTTGCTTACAAATGAAGCTGCATTAAAGTGGTCAAGAAAAAAATACTAAAAATAAATTTCTGAACCATATTCTTGCTTTTGAAAACACGTCATGTTGGACTTTGACCGAACATTCCTTCCGTATTGTGGATTGCGCAATAAATAAGCGTGAAGAGACTTGCTCCGTGCCGTAAGACATTCATGTTTAGGGCAATTTTGACTCCCAAAACCGCGTCGCATTGCAGTTGGTGGCTATTTAACTCTTGATTTCAATTACAACTCCCCTTGGCCACTGCACTTCTGCCGAGTGAACTGTCCTCCAGACAGAGCCATTAATTCCAATTCCTTCCCTTTGTTGCATGTGCATTCTACTCGAGCATGATGTCCTTCTTCGGTCACTGGAAAGTCTTGGAGTGATGCAATTTCTTTTATTGAGTTTTCCAAAATCCTCCAACGAAAGACAGTCCATGGAAATCTGTGATTGAGTTGGGAGCATATTTTGACATTGCTCGTATTGTCGAACTGGTCCTAAGCATATGACATTTACTCTGACTGAATTAAATAATTATCTTGGTACTTCAAGCTCATGGCAAGCTACAAAGCAAACCTCAGAAGACCGTTACAAACGCCTCCTGTTTTTGGCCAATATTAGTCGAAGTGGATATAGCCATTGGTCCTAAAAAAATGAAAGTCAAAATAAAATGAATTCTGACTGTAAAACAACCTGTCAGTGCCCAATTAACCGATCTCTTTGATGTGAACATCATCAAGGGAGGTGTGGTCTACTGTTTCCTTATGTATACCAAGTTCCTGTTGTTTAATCACTGCACTTGTCAAACATTCCAAATCTGATGACCTCGACACTTGTAGCCAATACACGAAAGCAGAGAAGAGACATTGGACACAAAACTTTAAACAAGCGGCGTCCCAACACAAATATCTTCCAAGTAGTTAGAAACCGGCTTTGGTCATGCGATAGCAGTTAAGTGAATGGATACACAAGAGTAATCCCACTTAAACTTTAAATTGTGAAGCATTGCAAGTGCAGCACACAAGTCCTGCTTTTGAGTGGTTATCAAAGAAGTGCGAAGTGCGCTTTTCAGTTTGATTCTCGCCTATACGCATGTTTGAGAGTGTTTGTGATCCATGAAAAATAATGCAGACAGATCATTTGTTCTTTTTATTACAACATCCTGAAACAAACTCAGTAAATGCATTAGTTTTATGTATAATTTTGCCATAAAATGGTTCAGTGTGTGGAAAGAGGAGTTTCTCTCATACTATGGCTAGAGTAAAGCAAGGTCCATGGTCTCCAAGTCCACCCGCTGTGAGTCAATGTAAAGGTTAATCTCCGTCACTCGATTTGTGTGTCGTTGGTTCTCATCTCTCTCGTGCATTTCTTCCATCAGTTCACTGAACCATAAATGGATGGACTTTAGGATTCCCTCCTCGGTGAGGTCAATTACATTCACATGGGTTTCCTTCGAGTTGCTTAGAGCGTTGACCACAAATTCGCGATCTGCATATATCTAGGACGTTAAAATAGCATCTACAGCCTCACGCATAAGTGAAACACTTCTTTTAAGGTACAGTAGCTTCCATTAATGTGCTTCGCACTACTTAGCATCCGCAACTCGAAAATAGTATGCAATAAAGTAATACTGTTTCTTAGTCCTTAATCAATCTTAAAATTTGCAAAACGATATGGAATTACACACCGCATAATTTTCATCTTGCGGTCCATCGGTTTTGGCTATCCGTTCGGTGTAGGTAAGCGTGAGTTCAGCTAATCTTTCGTTAAATGTTAAAGCAGATTCCCGCACCTTTGAGAAGCAGACCTGCCAAAATAATGCAAGTAGTTTACGCATTAAAAACTTTAACGTAAAACCCTTATTGGTGAAAATAGTTATTCTCTTGCTACTTGCCTGAACCGTCTCGCAAAATGATGACACTTTTTCCTCCAAATTCCTTTCGAATTCATTCACGACTTCTTCAATTTGATCAACAAGTGCGACTTCATTGGTCATCAAATCGTTCCAGAGATCGTGAATGTGCCGGCGAAGGTCGCAGAACAGTGATTCGGTCAGCATTGGGAAGGCGTCTATTTGAATTTCATCAAGCTTCGCTAAAATCTAACATGTAAATGATCACTCAAATTTTTGACTGCGACCACTTCGCTGGTACCACTTATGCTACTCAAATATTTCCTTTTAAATATCATGGTTGGTTCTACCTTCTCAAGAGCGGTATATATGTCATTCACAAATTGTAAAAGTCATCAGACTTCAAGATCGCAGCGATTACACATCTGTCTGTGAAACGCTGGGCTCAAAAAAATTACAGGTTTGATGAGCCAAAATGAAAAGTTAGTATCTTCAAAAAGTGCTACCCAAATTTAACCTGACTTTAAAAAACAGTAACAAACGGCTAAATTTTAATCGAACTCGCTTTTGTCCACTTGATGCAGTTATTTTTTATGCAGTTGTGATAGATGAGGATGGAAGGTGATGGCAAATTAAACAGCAGTATTGCTTTAACGTGATTTTAAAAGCATTATTTTTGTATTGACATTCCCGGATATTTAAAAATAACTTCTGATACGTTTTCAATACACACCTTGGAGCAAATTTGTGAGTCATTAGTCACTTGGAAAGAAGAATGAATAGCCTTACCTCGCTCTTTTTGCTTTCGTAAGCGCGAATAGCGCTGAGCGCCAGAGACTTAGAGTCCTCCTTCGCTGCACTGATACAATCACGCAAGGCCCTCTCCTCTTCCTGACGCTTTTGGAACTCCTCCTGACCTGAGGTGAAGAGCTGCTTGCAGGCGTCTATCACCTTCTCTCTGTACGTATACTTGCGGTCAAGGGCACACTGCATAATGTCACAGCTGCCTTCTTCCCCGAGCTTCCATTCATGGCACTAACTATACCCTATTTTCTGGGTTACCTTAATATGCTAACATGAAATGGCTACACTTAACTAAGTAAATGCTGA